GATTCAAAAGTCGTAAATAATCTACAAAATGGAGGAGTCTGATCTGATTGGAGCAACTGTGACAAATAATCCAACTGAAACCGGCATGGACAATGACTGTTTTTAAAAATGCGCTTATCCAGACAAGCCTGGATTGGACACTTTACGGGCAGAAGAAACATTTCTATTAAAGAAAGAATTATACATTTCTTTCTTTTTACGCCTTTAATACTAACTTGAATTTTTATTAAAATTAATTTATTGTAATGTAGAGACAAGACTTTTAGTGACAATCATGTATTGCCTTACAATTATATGTAAGAAAAAAAAAAGGTCTAAATATGATATTTGGCCTCAAATCATCTGAGGCCTGGCGCCCCCCGTGCGATCTTTGATTTAGATTTTAGATTGGGAACCACTGCCCTACGCTGTACATATCCGGCAAGAATCGCTGAAAGGTTTGGGAAGCTTTTTTTCGTGAAGGGCTGGCAGAGGGTGTGGCCATATTGTAGCTCTGGGCGTGGCTACTGGGTATCCCTATGTAGCGATACCCATGAAGTAAACAATGGAAAATGAGAAATCTCCAACGAGGCGTTTTGGGGAGGTATTTTCTGTGTTAGAGTTTTACTCGTTACAGGGTGTACTTTCAGGGTTGTTGACTCTGCAGACCGTTTACATGCATAAAAACCTTCATAACCCACAAGGGGACGGGTAATAACAGGAAAAGCACAACATGGGACCTTTTTAAAGACTGAATGTGACCTTGAGGCCTTTTCAAGCACACCGTGTAGAAAAAATGCACCAATGTTGAATGAGCAGTGAATGCTCCACACCAACAATGTGCAATAAGGAGCTCCTTAGTGTAAAAAGTAACAGTCTTTGCTGAACATTTCCTTTGTCACTCCACTTACACTTGAGAATATCTCTGATATCTCTGGTAAGTTGATCATTTACACAGCTCTGTCATTATCTGGTATTTTTTTTTATAGTTTTCGTAGTAATTATGTAGAATATGTAGTTTTGTTTTTCACTTTTCTGTATCCTACAGTTGAATATAACCAGAAATAATGAAAAACATGAAACAATTCCTGGCCTGTGGTTTAAATGAATCACATGTAATGAATCTACAACAAATGTTAGTATTTTCAGCTTAATTCCTGCAACATTGTGCCAAGGCTTTATATTAATCGGCCCCCATTAACCCTTTAGTTAAAGGTAGAGGAAAACGATAGTCACACGACTTGTAGGTTGAGGATTTCCCCTGAATTCAGACTTTGTTTGTTGCTTGAGGCCTTGGTAAGCTGGAGTAAGTCACCTCTCACATGCTGCTCTGTGGAATTTGAAAGTGCCAGTCATGTGATGTTCACGGTCTGTCCTGAGAAGCTCGTGCTGAAGACTACCTTAATGACTGGACCCTGTGTAGTTTGGGTAATATAGTTGCTGGGAGGGCGTGTGGTTAAGTTTTACAGCCAGTTGCCTCCCATCAACAGACGGAGACTGCTGCTGTTGCTACTGCCGTGTCTGGCTTGGACAGTTTCTATGGTAACCCACCCACAGGATAGAAATATGTGCGACCGTAGAGGGAAGTGGGGTTGCTAGGGCTATGGATAATGATGAGACTTTTATTTCTATGTCTCCCACACAAACCGATATGATACAGTGGCTGAAACTGAGGCATTAACGGCAGATTTCTGAAGATATCCCAGGTCCATACCCAGAATACCAAACTGTACCTTTGGCCATGCACCAGTGTTCATTAGTGTGGTGGACGCAACTGAAATGACCTCGCTTGAACCCTTTGGGATTTCTCAATAGTTCGCCGTTTCTCCTGGATAGATTCAGACGCACATTTCTTTAGTTTGCAGGCATGTTGAGCGTTTGAGGCAGCAGCACAAGTCTTTGTTCTTCTCTCTGGCAGTCTCATGCGCCTCTGTGGCATTCAGAGAGTAAATACTCAATTGTTCACACAGCTCTTTTGATTCTTGTGTTTTCTGCTGTTAGGGTGAGCAGCAAATGTCAGCCATTAATACTTTCAGTATAATGTTATCTATCCTTTATTTAAATGTTATTGCTTCGTTGAATATCAGTGTTTGGTGGTCTGGTTCCAGCTTCTTACATTTGAGAATTTGAGGAAACAGAATTTTTTTTTTAAATGGTTGGTAGGATAAAACAAGACATCTGAAGAACCAATTTTTTAAGTCTTTGGGAAATGATGAGGATTTTTTTGTTGGAATTAAGTATTTCATTAGTAGATAAAATAATCAGAAATACAAATAAACAGTAGTTGCAGCACTCGTAATATACAGTATATTTCTTTTTTCTAAACAAATCTAAAGGAATGACCAAAACCGACATTGAAGGGAATTGGCTGTGTATCAAAAGCCTGATAAAGCTTAATCCTCCGTGCCGTAGACCTCCATTCTTGACCAAAATCATGTGCACTGTAGTTCATTTAAAGTAAAGTTCAGATTTATCGTGCTTTGCAAGAAGCTATCAGGAGTGATGTAGAATGTTCTTATTTGGTTGTTTTTCCAAAACAGGACTGGCTTCAGTCAATGGAGATGGATGATTATCAAAAAAGTTAAAGTTCAGGCACCTTGGGATTTGCTGTCATTTAATGTATACCACAGCCACATATCAATACCCCAAATAACTCATTACACCATGCAACAGTCAGGTGTATATCTGTGCCAATCACATTGGAGGTATTGATTGATATAATCACCCCATATGAGTCTATTCCATCCAGGCGGTTCTCTCCAAGGAGAAGTTAAGCCCCCAACCTCCTGTGTCTGCAAATAGACCCAGGAAAAGGACTGGCCATGTCAGAAAATCAAGTGAAGTGTTGAATGTGGACAATGACATGATGTCCAGGGCCTCTTCAGCGAACAGTTGGTGCTTTACTCCTGGTATAAATGAATGAGTATACTTATTCTCATCATTCACTTACTACTTTGCAAAAAAGAGTGTGCTGTGCAATGTAAGAATACTTTTTAGCCATTGTACCTCCATTTTTTTCAGCTTAGCACAAAAGTCCTTTTTTGGATGTTATGAAATAATAATGGGTCTGATCACTGGCTTTGTTCATTGGTGAAAGGAGTTCATTTAATTGAATACAACATAGTTTATTGCATTCTTTGCCTCTGTGCTCAAAATTGTTCAGTTACTCCGTTTTGGCTTAACGTTGGGCTCAGTCAGACCTTGCAAAATAATTAAAACAAGATGAGACAGCAGCCTGGTAAATTATTAAGCAATTTTTTCCTTTTTATATTGTGGATGTATGAGCTACAAAAGGCCTGGAAATAAAAGCCTTATTCCAGTCTATCAGCTCTTTATCCCACTGTGTCATGTCTCTGGTGATTTCACCTGGGGTTATATCAGCTAAAATTAGACTCTCAATTATGAGCAATTACCGTCAGGCCTGTGGGCCCCACAGTGTATTCACTCTCTTGCTCACACCCGCATTGCGCCACACAACTCCAGTTCCTCGTGTCGTTGGGTAAGTACCCTCAGTAAAGTGAAAGTATGCTGAGAGAAGCTTTGCTTGCAGTTCCTCAATCTTAGGTTCCTTTTCTATTTTGTAACTTGACTCTGGTGGAGGCTGACTTCCTAATGCACAGTACAATTACACTTGCCTTCTAGGCTTTCCTAAATTGGAGCAGTGTAGCAATAATATGTGCTAAATCAGTCAAATGTTACCTAAAGTCATTGGAAGCCTGATGCGTTTGCTGAGACTACATCTAAGTGAAATGAGCAGGTGCTTAAAAGACACAATACGTGAGCCAATCTAAAGAAGCAATAGCCCTCTATTAAACCTAAACAAATGATTGTAGCCTGATTTCAAGTAAAAAATCTGAGTTGTGTGTGTATCAGATAACCGAAAGAGACATATATTTATAGTTGTTCTTAAAATCAGCATTTTGTGCAGGTCATATGTTATGATGAATCACCATCATAAACAGAACTGAAAAACTCAAAAATAGGAAGCATATATTGAAGCTTACGCAAGCTCTCATGTGTGTATGAGACATTTTATTTTATCTAAAGAAAAAAACACTGCTGTCATCAAAAAAGAGAAAAACAACCATAATCCCCCAACTTTTATTATACAACTGCTTTTGCTTTATGTGGTCTGAAACATAATGTAATTTGTTATTTAAACTATGAGCTCCCAGCATAAAAACAACCTTCTACTGTATCTAATCATATTTTCCATTTGTATTTGCGATCCAGGCAGTTTACGTCACAGATTTAGTTTTGATCAGATAGGCTTCAAAGTGCGACTTGATGTCAGCATAGTATTAAAATAAATACTGTTCGCTGATCATAGATTCACTTCCTCCAATGAGATGCTGTGCTGCACGCATCAGCGCACACTTGTGCTAAGGTGAAGTGATGTGGTCCGAGTAAAAGTTACGTTCGACAGCTCGGCTTGGACTTGTTTTCGCCACTTCAAGAGTCTGTTTCCTCTTAAGGGTTAAGATAAAGTACTACTGCTTACTTAAGTATGGAACATCTTGTTGTTTGTATTTGTTATGAGCAACATTATTAAAATCTACAGTGGATATATTTGTTCAGTGTATATATCTGTAGCCTCATTTCTATGATGTGGGATTCACAAAGAGTTAAATGCACAAAGAGGTAGTGTGACAGACATTGGTAGTTTTAAAAGAAGTAAAAAACACTGGTCCGGTTGTGTTTAAGAAGAGTCTTTCTCAGATTAATAGTGACACCAAATACAAATATGCTTTTCCTTTTGTGAACTATCTTCTTAGATTTTTTGGAATATGAGTACAGAGAAAGGGTTTATCATTACAGCAGATTACTTTTTCCATTCTCTGAGTCGATTAGGCCCTCATCTCTATCAATGGACAAAATGGAGAAAGAAATGAGACTGAATTACTTGCATGACAATCTCAGGCCTAGACATCCTGGTTTCATCCTTTAAATCCAACAACCTATTACTCATATTGCTTTCAGCGGCTTTGTAAAAATGCAAATGTTTCACTGTGTTCTCTTTCTGTCCTCCAGGTCAGGAGCGATTTGGGAACATGACGCGAGTGTACTACAAAGAGGCTGTGGGGGCATTCGTGGTGTTCGATGTGACAAGGGGCTCCACGTTTGAGGCGGTGTCTAAGTGGAAGCACGACCTGGACAGCAAGGTGAAGCTGGCTAATGGCAGCCCCATCCCCTCAGTTCTGCTCGCCAATAAATGCGACCAGAAGAACGACAGCTCCAACAATACAACCCTAATGGACAATTTCTGCAAAGAGACCGGCTTCCTGGGCTGGTTTGAAACCTCAGCAAAGGTGAGGGATCAATACATTAGACGCAGAAGCCATTACACATTTGCGTAAAACAGGTCTATGTGCTCTTAGATGTATTTCTATTTATATCTGTTTAACAGGCTTTTTTCATGAACATGCTCTCTGATTTTTCTCTACGTTTTATTTGTGGTTACTCTACAATTCAGCAGCATGGAATTACCAAAGCAGGGATTAATACTGGCAAAAATATCTTTCACACTGGGGATATACATTTCCTTTTAAAGCTTCCTGGGTCATGGTCCAAACATGACTAGTAATGTCTTAAAATCTTATTTCACGCATGAACGTGACTCGAGTTTGCGGAAAATCGGATTTGATGAGAGCTTTTGAAATACACAGCCAAGTCAAACTCAGATGAGACTGGATATTTTTGGTCTAGACACTTTGCCATTTTACTGAATGGCTTATTCACTTCTGAGGCATTCGTGAAATAGTTATATGTTGTGATTTGTTTTTTGTTAAGACTTAGGCATTCTCTCAACAGGTTTTAACAATTGTAAATGTTTTGATCCAAATGTCAGTGTTATATAATGGCAAATGGTATACGTTTTTGTTCTGCTGCCAACATGTGCAACGTCTACAGACATTTATCTTTCCAACCAGGGAAAAGATTTGTTGGACCACTGGTATCGCATGACGGTGATTGATGTTGCAGCCCAGAGCTTTGACCCCTTTTTTTTTTTTTTGGACCCCTGACCGATAATGTTAGGTTGTGTTTCTCTTCAACTTCGGTCATGATATTACAGTTTTAATGTTATTGTGTTTAAATTATATTTTTGTAACTCTGTCTTTTTGTGACCAGTATTTGGTCAAGAGAGATCATTTTGAGTAGAGTAAGAGTAGTAGTGTTGAGGCCCTGCATGCAACATTTTACCTAAGAAAAGTAAATATTTGTATTGTAGGATTATAATTTGTGTAAAGCAGTTCTTTAATATACTGTTTGGTATTTTCATATGTAAAAAAGTATCATGTTTTTAATCTGGTTTTGTATATAAAAAGTACATGTGTAAAGTAAGTAGTAACTTCACCTTTTAAACAAATGATATAGAGTGCAAGGTACAATATTTCCATTCCATGATGTCGGGAAAAGTACCAAAAACAGCGCACAATACTTGAGAAAATCTACTGACCTACCTTCCACAGCTGTAAGTCTTGTTTTTTCTGAGGTGCAAACTCTATGCTATAATACGAGACTCCTCAGCAGGTAACTGAGTGAGAGCACGAGGCTGACATGAACAAAAGGCTGCCAGCACTCTGGGTTTGCCGTGTCATGTTCATTTATAAATGACGTCCTATGAAAGATGCAGTTGTTTCTGACAAGGGCTAAAATCACAGCCAGCCAATTGATCATTTTCTTAACGATGAGAGTCCTGGGAAACCCCCCTCCCACGTTTCCCATTACATTTGTGTAATTTTTTTAAATCTGCTTTGGGAGACGTGGTATGGCAAAGAGGAATATTTTGGCAGCCAGGGTAAACTTAGTTAACTCATTCCAGATAACCTTAGGCTGTGCAGCCATGTCACGTGCTGTGTCATGTGAAGTGTGTTAGTGTGTGTGATCAGTGCAAAGCTTTTCTGTGAGTGCAATGAAGTGTTGTTCTTTTGTATGCCTGTCACGTTGGCTATAAACTAGACATACAACAAACTCTGATTATAATTCTCTCAATGAGTACCAAACTTTGTTTCAGTTTAAGAAGCAAAACACATCGTTTTTAAAACGTTGTCAAATGCTGAGAGGCTGTTAATTTCCTCTGGTCCTAATCAGCCTTTTATGTAATCAACAACTTAGTCCCTCTAATTGTGAGGGGCCCCTTGTTCTGATTGGAGCACGCCCTCTACTCATTGAACAATCATAAAAACATTACTTAAACGTTAACTAGACACAATCATGTGATTGTGCGCACTTCCAATTAATTAAACACTACAACAGAGAGATTTTAACAGTACATTTGGACAAATAATATACCACATTTCTCTTTGTCAGAGATGTTATTATTTTGTACAACAATGCCGATAGGTATGTAAATGTGGCCCTGTAAGTAGGATGTCCTTTATTGTTTTCTGTTGTTTTATGTTTCATGTTGTAACCTACTTGCTGCAGGTCTCCCTTGAAAAAGAGATCGATGATCTCAATGGGACCACCTGGTTAAATAAAGGTTTGAAATGAAATGAACAAAAAGGAATTAGATTTTCATTGCAAACGTAATCTCTAAAAAACAACTCTGTTTGCCTTACCCAAGATGACCAGGCCTCTTTGTAAACATTTGTGTTGCTACAGAGCCTGGAGAAAGGCCATTAATATTCATTAACTCTTCAACCCATGGGATGACAGCTTTTGGCCACAGTGTGAAGGACACAAGTAAATGGCTGTTTGTAACTCGTCCCTGTCAGCCTCAGATCTCTGGTAATAGTCCCTGTCTCCAAACTGTTGCTTTAACAGGCTGTTTAATGGAGAGGGGTTGAGTTGACTTACAAAACAAATATTTAAAGATGCAAGCAAAGACATGCACCAAGGTCTGATTGTCACTCTGCAGATGGATTTTTGTACAACAACTCTGATATTCTGTTTTTACCTTTTTTCTAGGACAACATCAACGTGGACGAGGCAGCACGTTTCCTGGTTGAGAATATCTTGGCTAACGACAAAGGTTTGCCATACGAGGAGAGCAATGGAGACCGGATCAAACTGGACCAGGAGACTGTGGCTGCTGAGAGCAAGTCTGGCTGCTGCTGACACTAAATCCATTCATATTAGCCATCCGCCTCCTTTGGCAGGGTCTGACCCGGCACCCGGCCTGTGGCTCTCAGCCCTCTACTGCAGCCTCTCTGAGGAATATCAATTAATGGGTCTCCAAAGCTCCAGGATCTTCTCCTCTCTGCACTGATGCCCGTTTGCCCTGCACACCCATAGTTGTTTTCACTAGGCCAGAATAGAAGCCCAATTTTATCTTAATCTTGTCACTGTCTCTGTAGGGCTGTTTCCTTCTTTGTTGACACTCCTAAACCACCACTTCTTTATTATTGTGTTTATCTCACTGCATATTTCCCTAATGGTTTATTCCACCACCAACTTTAAATCCTACCCAGCCCTCCACACTTGGACCCTGCTACTCCTCCAGTTGCCCTGATAGCCTCTGAAGCCCTGGACTATACCATGCTTGAAAGGGGCTCAAACTGAGCAAAACTCACAAAAAACAAACTACAAAACCACCTGTAGCCTCTCGATTTTTGTCTCTTTGGTTTTTCACTGTCGGTATCATTGTCATTCAATATTTTTCTGTGAGACAAGTCCCTTTTGTGCTCGTGGCACACGTATGTTTGTGTTTCCAGCTGTTCTACTACTGTATGAAAAAGAAAGCAGACAAAATGCACGGTTAAGCATTATCAAAGAGTGGTTGTATCTCATATTTAATTAATTGTTGGCTTGATTTAATAATTTCTGTAAAAAAATCAGCGATGTTAATTAGAGCAGAACACTTTGTTGTTTACTCAAACTTTTACAAAGACAATACAGTATAATAATCTAATTGTGGTACTATATGAGACACGGTCTTTTCACCAGCATAAACATTTAGATTTACTGCATGTTTTTTTCTTTTTATTGTTGGGTCATACATTGTCATGCAACTGTCAAATGAAATATCAGAAAAACAGAATGTAATGGAGGACTTCACTTTCTGGTACATTAAAGTGTTCAGATTAAAAACCTGAAATACTTTTTAAACACTGTGTTGAGATAAAGTGTGTATGTAAAAATACTTTAAATATAAAAGACCAAAATAGAATAAACATTTTAAAATATTGTTGTCTACCGGCGATAGTCTGTTCACATCTATTTGTGTAATATATTTAAATGAGTTCATCCACTGTTTTATTTTATTTTTGTCCATGTACAAAAAACTGGAGCAGTTTTGCTCTTGCTCAACATTCACCAAATAATATAGTGTACATTTAATCATATAATCTTCTGTGAACGAAAATGAATAAATAAGTTGCACCACGTGTGGCTTAGTGTGGTGTGGCATATATATAAACCATGATCGAGTAGAAATTCTGCAACTCTTCAGAGTGAGATGGCAACATCATTTGATCTTTGAAAGCAGGCCTACGTTTTGGTTACCTAATGAAAAGCACAGATTAATAGCAAATGGTAAAGTCAATGGCTAGAATAAGACTCACAAGTCTAGATGTTATATCATCCAGCACTTTACTGTAAGCATTAATGGCCACAATTTATAGAGTTGTGCATGTGAAAAACAAGATCACAACGCGTACAACATGGTTTTAAGTTACCCTTGAAGACACACAGTGCAACAGATGAAGTTGTATTTGTGAAATGTATGACTCAGACTCTGCACATGTCTGTGCGTGCCTGAGAGAGAGGGAGACAGGACCATGTGATTTCACTTAAGAAACAGTGTGTGATAGTCATCAGACAATGTCTTCACCACTATGGCTTTTACTCTCTCATCCACACACACAACTGTTTGTGAAGCAGGAATGCAGTGGAGGAGTATCAGTATTGTGGTGTATTAAATTACAGGAACTCTAATTAAATGCCAATTCTTCAATCTGCATGAAATCAATAAAACGTTTCATAGAAAAAGATAAAACCTTGACATAATACAGATGTATTGGTTTTAATCTATGAATGTATGTATGTTACTGTGTAGGAGGTGCTACAATTGTGTGGTTTTACGCTATGATCTGTTAATTTAATGCAAAAACAATGCTATTCAATGCCATGGTATTCATGAAGATGCAACCTTTGTGACGCTTTTAATGTTACACTTTTATCAAGATGGTTCGAGGGAGGTAGGCTACTGAGTCAAGTTAACTGAGGCGATATTCTGGATGGTTTCAGTTTCAATCTATTGTTTTATTGTGTCAGTTTATACAAAGGACAATATGGCCAGCTTTTTAATGATTAGGCTTCTTTGCTGCTTTGTAAATAGATGAGTTGTTATGGAAAATCTGCCTATCCCTCACTATAGTAGCAAGTGATGCAGACCCCGCCCACCTTAAGGCTCCGTTGCTGAGCAACGAGAAACTTTGAAGAGCAGAGACATAACCAAACAAATGTACCCCCGGCAAGCTACCTGAGTTTTTGATTCTTTGTACATTTGCTTGCAGGTTTATTTTACCAAGGGCAATGTCCAAGGCACCACTCAAGAAAAAGGAGACCTCCAGTAAAGTCTCTTTATCCGAACGACCGACTGAGTGAGTTCGGATAGTGTTAGCAATCGGGCGTTAATTAAGACCAGCTGTTGTTAGCATTAACATTAGCGTTAGCAGCATATCAGCAAACAACTAAGCTAACGTTAGCATTCAGTATGTACTAATCGAGACACCATACTTTATTAACTGTGGCTGAATTTATGGTTTTATGAATGGTTCACAAATATGTACTATCTATCTGTTTCCGCAGAGGTGGGAGAAGTACTTCCTGTGATTCAGTAAAAGTATAGTGTAGGAATACTCGTTTCAAGTAAAAGTCCTGAATTCCAAATGTTACTCAAATAAAAATACAAAAGTATTAGCTTTAAATTCAGAATAATAAACAGTATGTTTTGATTATAATTATTGATGCATTAGAGTGTTATCAAAGCTGGTAAAGGTGCACCAAAGTTACTTACTTTATTTTACTGCAGGGTAGCTTGTGAATGTTACTGAAGGTGTAACAAAAGTCTTATGTGTGTTGATTTAATTTCACATCATTAATCCAAATCTGCAAAGTAACTAAAGATATTAAATACATGTAGTGTAAAAGTACATGATTTACTGAAGTACAAAGAAGCTAACAATTGAAATACTCAACAAAAGTACAAGTATCTAAATTACCTAAAATGGTCCCAAAGTTCAGTACTTGAGTATGTGTAGTTTGTTACTTTGAGCCAATGTGTTTCTGTACCTCAAAACCTGAAGTAAGTAATCATCACTTTAGAAGAGAAGTCACTAAACAGGGTTGTACTGGACTGAATGTCTGGTACAGTACTGGCTAAATGTTTTGCTAAATATTGACAAAAAGAAAAATACAAGCGAACACATTTAATTAATAGTTATGTGTCATTATTTCAGAGCATCGTCCGTAGGAGCAACTTCCTCTGAGAGCCTTGGAGGTGTTTGGAGATGCAGGTTTCCCATTTGGCCCGAGTGGAATGACTCAGAAGTCAACCTGGAGAAATGGGACTCAAGTAAAGGATCTGATGGAAACTCGAACAAGAGTCCCAATGCTGTAAATCTGGAGTATACAATTGTTGATTTGTATATTGATATATTGGTGTACTGTTCAGTGTACTATAAAAAAGTGTTTTATTTCACTATACAACTAAATGTATCTTTATTCTTTGTTTTTGTTGTGTTTCCCTATCAAATTAACTTTTTTTGCTTTTTCTTTAGCCATTATTTGAAGATCCTGAGGGAAAAATATCCCTGCCTCCATCTGTGAGAGTGCACTCCTGGAAACGTCCTACAGAGTTTATTGTCAAGGTAACATCATGTGTAGTACCTGTCCAAAACTATGACAGGTATTCTATTGCACTGTATAATGATAAACATACGCTTAGAAGGTCTGTTTTAGTATATTGAATCTAGTGGTTAAAATAGGAAACAATAATAAACAGGAGAAAGCATATTGGTCATGAAGGTATACACCAGGGCTATTCAATTACTGTAGTTTGGAATGGGGGCCGGTTGATGAAAATGATCCAAAGCAAGGGGCCGGGAAAAAGATGGCTTGAAATATGAGCAATCATATTAAGAGCTTCAGATGCAGTAAATACTACAACAGCATAGTGGAGTGCATATATTGTGTTTAATTAAATCAAACAACATAGCCCCAAGGCCTTTATAGATCTAAATGGCAAGTTCAGAACTCAGTAGACCTACATGTGAAGCTAATTTAACCATCAACATAATTTAATGTGATTTAATTTAGGTGAAATGATCTAATCATTCACGCAGAGATGCAATCAATGACAGGAGTTGTCACTACAGTAGCTAGTAGGTGGGTTCGAAACCCGAGCCCGCCAAAGTTCTCAGGCAATGTCTTCCACTCTATCTCTCAATTTAACACCCTCTCTGGAATAAAGGCACTCTGGCCCAAAAAATAAATTCTTAAAAAAAATAAAATCAAAATGTGATTACTTTTTAACATTATACTCAAAGGGCCAGTTAATATCACCCCCCTGTTAGAATTTTCCAACTCGCATGAAAAACCAATTGCGCTTCTTTCATATTACTTAATGGTTTCAATTTAGCTAGGGCTTCAATTTTCTGATACCACTGGAAATTAAATGTACAGTATATGTATACAAAATAACCTGTTTTAAAGTCACTTGTCATTTATGTCCCCCTTTTTGTTGATAATAATGACAAATAGACTACATATACTTGCAGTAAGTATTAGTTTTCTAATAAAACATGTCAGGGGAATTACTCTAGCTGTTTGTTGCAGCCATTAGCTGTATTGGCAAAGTGAAATGTAGTTAAGGGTATCTTCTCTGTAGTCACCTCCAATATAGTTTTAATTTAATCACTCCGATGTTCTGTTCCCCCTCTCTCAGTGCAGTATTAAGCTATTTTTGCAAACGTCCTGCTTTTACATTTAGTCCTTGCCAGGTCAAAAGCTGCCTTTCCACTCAAGATGCCGAAAGCATTTCATTAATTTCATACAAGAGGAACACGGGATAAACACAAAAGCAATCAGCTGTGCAGACGCAAGCGAGGCTCTTCTGTGAAACTCTCTTCATTAGTCTATACCGGTCCTTATTTACAGAGCTGTGTTATTGACGGAAATACTTTCAAGTTTGGTTCCCACTTAGAGTTGCTGTGACGTCTCGAGGGAACACAACCTTAATTGACCTTCAGCTGATCTCTCTCCCCACCATCTGACCCATTTAATCCGTTTTAATTAGTAATGGTAGAATATATTAACTTCATATTGAAATATTCATTGCAGACACAGTCTTGGGAGTATCATGGTGAGGTTAGACCTGTTGAGGACCTTTTGAGGAGGAGAGAAGTGTTAAGTGGGTTACATATTCATGTCCATTATAAACAGATGGCGCAAGATGGCAAATGTGTGTATTTATAATGACTAGTTATGATGTGTAGAAATACAACCGCACACTGTAAAATATTCTGAGTGCATAAAGCTTTTCTGTCAGTCATCTGGCTGTGAAAGTCGTCTTTATTTAATTTTTATATTATACATTGCAATCTTCTATTTTAGGGTATCACAGTTGTTGAGAATCCAATGAACTTTGAACTGATCTCCCCAAAGGATCATCTGATTTGCAGTGAGGTTTGTTTTCAATTGTTATTTCTTCTTTTCTATAAAGCATTGCACTGACTTTTCAGTAACCAGTATTGATCAGCACTTGAATAGTGTAATTCAGATGTCAGACAGGGTGACGTTTGAACGACAGAGTGAATTACACTTGGGTAATGCAATGCCCTATTGATTTTGTGAATGATATTGAAAGAGATTTAAAGGTTGATAGCCGGTTAACTCATGATAATGTTTCTCTTCCTTCTCTACTCTACTTTTAGCTGATGAGGTGGATTATCAGTGAGATATATATTGTTTGGACGCTGCATAACAATTCAGATACAACACAAGATATTTGGAGACCTTGGGATCCCATCTACTCGCTGTGTAAGGTGGGCAGAGGTCATGTGCCACTCTACAACATCTATGGAAAATACCTGGTCAGACTCTACTGGATGGTGAGCCTGACACACACGCACGCACGCACGCATGCACACACACACGCACGCGTGCGCGCGCACACACACACACACACACACACACAGAAATCCTTATCCACTCAGAGCTCAGATCAATCAGTCTCACTACTGTGCCAAAAAAAAAGTGGACGGGCTTCATATTGCCTGACGAGTAGATAAGGTTGACAGGAGTCAGCTTGCTTCATAGAAGGCATGTTCAAAATTGAGTATCCACGCCAAGTAAGATCATGAGAGCAGGCACAACCATGGTAGGGCTTTATGTCATTCAAATAGCTGTTATTTAAGTGTTAAGATGTTTTCTGGTGTTTCCCTTTTGATCAAAGACCATCATTGCATTGGGATACATCTTGATATTGTTGGTCTGGTTGTTTCAGTATGTGTGTTGCTTGCCACAGATCTGTAAGTAGTGGACACTAAATCATTGTGTCATTTCAGAAAGGAAACTTCTTCCAGCACAACAATTTGGGTCAGTGAGGAAGTGAAAAAAGAAGAGAGGGCTCAAATTGATGGTGTTCTGTAGCACTGTGACTCTTGCCTTGACAAACAAGCATGACACGGTTGTAGGCAGCAGTCCCCGTGCCAACCATAGCACGCTAACAGATGGTTGTTGAGATGGCATTAAGCAGCACCCAGCCCCCATTCACCCTTCCTGCTTCCCCTCATGTTATTGCTCATAGGCTACTCTCTTATCTACCGCTCATATGATTCCTTATTGTTCCAATTCACACCAGTCTTTTCTTCTCCTTCATGCCGCTGTGAATACCCATTACATTCCATTCCCATTTTCTCTCCCCGTTTTTGTTCAGCCCCTCAGCTCCGTCTCTCCTTTCCGCCTCTTCTTCCTCTCTCCTCTTACTTGTCCTTTCACACTGCATTCTACCCCGTCTCCGAACACATCCAGCTCTTCCTCGGGGCGATGGTTTGACAAGAAAGTAGAAGAACAAGCAAGAAATAAAGTCTGCTCGCCCACTCTGTATACAGTTATGTTAGGGCACACTGAGTTGTAAGGAGAGGCACAGCTGTGATCAGTCAGTCAGACTATGACCTGCTTTTTCTTACAAGCAGTGTGAAACTCCCCCAGACGGCCAGTAAACAGACCACACCACAGGCAGCATGTAATAATCCTTGACACCAAACAGGATGCAAGGTAGCTGATGCTAGGAGAGGTGTGGAAATGTCCTCGGATCAGAGATTTTGAGGTCACGAGTTACCCATTGCGCTTTGATGAAAAATGTGATCTGAGTGACACCTGTGGCACATTTAGAAATGGAGGAGAAATCCAAGAAATGACCTCGGCAGTGAATATGTCAGGGGCTGGTATCAGTCTAGGCCAATCCCATCAGTTCCTCTTATTTCCTTTAAATGCAGTTGTTTTCCTATCCACAATGTACGGACTGTTTAAACGAGTTCTTTCCCTAGCATGAAGAATTTTTTCAGTCAGAAATATTTAGGGTCAAGGAATTCACTGTAAATTATTATGAAGTTAATTTGAACAATTAACATAAAACACTTCAGTACAGATGAATTGAAACCTGTTAATGTACGAGAGCATTAGATCATTGGTTGATGGTGCTGCCTGTGTTGTCATGAAGGTATCAGCAGAATCAAGGTGAGATTTGTAAGGTTATGAAAGCTGCCTAACACACTGATACCCATTTTATTGGATGTTACTAGTCAGCTGATGATCAGCAAGAAGAGGCATCAATGAGCATATGATTTAACAGCTGATAACTAATCAGCCGATGTCAGTGCCATTTCAGTATAGGCCTGAAGGCATTGCTCCATTCTGGTCGGAGAAGCTCTCATTTCCAAACGTGAACGTACAGCAGCTCAAATATCAGTGCAAAAAGCACAATTCGATCAGCTTTACAAATATACTGTGAGATGATGCCTCTTTTAAGATGTTCTGGAACTCAGCTGTCTAATTGTGCCACTCTAAGGAACTTAAAAAAAAATCAAATGTTGAATGATTTAGTTCATTTGCTTTGATTACACGTCCTCACTCACTGTTTGTTCTTTCCTTCTTTTCAGGGTTGTTGGAGGAAGATAACAGTAGATGATTCAATGCCATTTGATGAAGAAAACAACTTGCTTCTCCCAGCCTCCACCTGTCAGTCAGAGCTGTGGCCAATGTTGTTGGCTAAGGCTCTCATTAAGGTGGCCAACACAAAGTGAGTTACCGTACATTCCAGCAGAAACTACTTAAGCGTCTCAGTACTGCCTCAAGGAGTTGAGAAACACTTCTAATAGTCTTAAAGTAAGAGGGCTGAGGAACAGACTCCAGCTTATTCCAAGTTTATTCAAACTATGCACCCTAACTCAAATTAGACCACCTTAAAAATGCACTATGCATATTTACCCATTATACTATTTTTACACTTTACACTAACCTAACTAAGTAAAGCAGTGTTAAGGATGGTACCATTACCCAATTGCATTAGAGTCATTTGCAATGAACAAAATTAAGGTAGGATATTGAACTTACTGTGATTTCTTTTTAATTATTATTTTTAACATTTTGACCCTGCCAGATCAAATCAGATTCAAAAAGTATTCAAGATCACAGTGTAAAAGATACCTAATGTTTCATGCTGAACTATTGGGGACATTTAAAAAAAGCTGACATTTTAACACCTGATGAAGTAAAATAAACTACTTAAAGCTCGTACACTTGCACTAGAACCCCTTAAAGTGTGTTTTGCTGAGTTGCCAAATGTCAAATCAAATCAAGTTTTATTTATATAGCACATTTATAAACGATTTTTGGTCGAGCCAAAGTGCTGTACATGTAATAATGTGACCTACTCTCTGCCTTGGGGCTGTCTTGAGTTCGGTGACAGACAGGCGTTATGTGTGTCTGTGATGGGGCAGCATGGCGTGTGTAAAGGTGGCTGTTCCAGTGTTCACAAAAGGTCGAGACATAAATGTTTTATCCAAGACAGGAAACAAAGGAGTCTTTTTCCTTGCAAATTATTTATGAACCATAGTGAAAGTTCTTCGTACTGAAATAGTCCCAAACTGCTGGGGCTCATATGAAAGGATGTAGTCTTTTTTTCATCAAAAAGATTCGTTTAAAGGCTCCATCACTTTTGTGTCGAGCAGCTTTTTAAGATTTTTTTTGTAGTGGTTATGGGCTTTGGCATTACTCATCTAGTTGTATTGATTTCACTTTCTCTTTTATCATGACTGTGGACTGGACCGGTTGGCCACAGGATCCCAAGAGGGCCAATTAGAGCTGCTGCAGGCATCTGTTTCAACTGAGAATACACACTCACACACACCAGAGAATTGGTTAAATCGACTTCAATTATAAATTGCGTTACACATACGACACATTTCAAAATGAAGAATATAAGATCAGCCTGTCCCTTTGACAAACAGTCAAACAGACGGCAGAAAAAGTACAGGCTGGTTATGATAACACCAAACACTTTTTACTTGTTGACCTATATGAGCTTTGAATTGTGCCTTAAATGGTAAAATGATGTTAATCAATTATTTTGTAACAAGAGTCAATTTGAACATCCTATTGTTTTGGCATTCTTTGTTATGGATTATTGTCACAAACATCTTGTTTAAAATGTTACCTTGTTTTCTTCTCTGGTGTTAGTACTAAACATGATGCTAAAATCAAGACGTAAAACAAGAGGAAGTGCTAATCATTTTTGTTTCATTGTCATTAGTTAACGCAATTTAGTGGGAAACATGTTTGTGATATCACATTGAAACCATAACATCAAAGGTTTCATTTTAGAACTGTTTCAATGCCACTATAGGAAGTCTCGAGTTTGTCTTTTCTTTACAGTTTTTTGTGTATTTGATTCCCAGTGTAACGTCAGAGGCCAGCAGGGAGATGGGTGAGTTCAGCTTTATCCAAACCCTCACTGGCTGGATCCCAGAAATCCGTCCTTTAAGGTAAGGTTCTGATTGTTCTGATCCACTCTTGTACCTCTGTCCTCTGCATCACTTCCTAAATCCATAGATAAGTGACTTACATAAATGTTAATGCCGTTGATAATCTTTCTTTGCTGCTATCCCACCAAAGTGGGACTATCTAATATCTGATAGTTTATAAAAACAAAGGCTGTGGCAATCACGCAGTTTGACAAGCAGTGAATTCTTCCTGTCAAATATACCATTTTATAGAATCTACTGTAGCAAAGAAAGAAAAATTTCCATCTGTCTACAGCAGTACGGAAAGTCACACTTTGGGAGAAACTATTGAGACACAAGCAGATTTATAATAAAGGAGGAGGAGAGGAGTGGAGAATCCCGGCTTGTCAGTGATGGAACTTCAATGGGGCAACAGTGTTTAGGAGTGGAGCTGGGTGGTGTTATTCTCTGTAGCTCAGCAGGCTAGCTGCTGTTAGTGTGTGTCTGGGGAATCCATCAACACGTTCAGGAGCTGTACATGTTTGTGTTACGGATTGATTCGTGGCACGTGGGTCTGCAGTCCCACACACACACACACACACACACACACACACACACACACACACACACACACACACACACACACACACACACTTCTATTTCCAACATCTGCTACCATTTAAATTGACAAAAGTGCAATTATACCTACATTGTGGCCACGAAATTCCAATTTCTGTTCTGTAAAATATTAATGGTTGGTGTTGAGTGTTTTGCTTGTGTACTACTAGCATGATATAATGGCAGCTGTTTGGCATAAGAAGAATTATGATTTTCATTATTCTGGTTAATGCTAACAATTAGCACAGAGGAGATGTTTTTGTAACCCAGAAAACTGTACTCGTTTTTTGGTTCATCATTTTCAACCACTGGACTGTCTCTACCTTCCACATCTGCTGAGCCAACAAGATGGAGGAACTATTATACCAACAATATGTCTATGCCCTCTTATGGAGATTCAGTATTCAAAAAGAAATACAGGCTGCAGTTCAAGCAAAGAGTAGATATCCTCCTCACATTAGAATGACAGGTTCAGGCTGAAAATCCATATAGTAAACCTTTAAGCTAACACCACAGTGATGTTCTTCAAAGAAAATAACATGAGCTCATACTATACCTTTGAGTTGCTTATCACACTGTAAAGAAACTGAGAGGCAGAGTAGTGGGAGGCACCTACATTCCCAATAGGTGGCTCCACCCGCTTCCAATTAACAGTATTGGGAACAGGTGTGGATACCTCACACCTGGTGCTAATCACTCCCTCAAGGGAGACAAAGCACACAGAGTTGCTCAGTTGTGTGTGGCACATGGAGGGAGCAGGAGACTCCCAGCTTGAGGAAACATTTTGTAAGCTGGTAAGTCGGTTAGCGGCCTGGCTACGTTAGCCTTTGTATAAAAAAAAAGTTAGGGTTAGTTTCCATGATGGAGGATGTACTAAGGGAGTTGGTGCGTATTTCTACTGAGCAGCAGACTCTGCAACGGCAGATGATACAGGAGCAGCAGAAACAGAATGCGCTTCTCCATGTGGAGGTCCAAAAATGCCTAACAGCAGCCTCTCCTATCCAGAGGGAAGCAACCGTGCAGCCTAACCCAGGTCGATTCATCCCCAAAATGACGGAGANGATCCCATGTCATGGCCATCTCTATCATAATTCCATTGTTGAGGTATACTAAAATAGATTCATACTGTGCAATTTTCCAAACTAACATTGGTTTCTGATTATCAGAAACCAATGTTAGTTTGGAAAATTGCACAGTATGAATCTATTTTAGTATACCTCAACAATGGAATTATGATAGAGATGGCCATGACATGGGATCTTTAAAGTTGTGATTGCTAAATGGGGATTAATTGCTCGGCAGCAATAAAGTGTTACTTAGTGGTTGAGTTGTTTATTCTGTTAGACGATCAACAATCAAAACTAATTAGTCACTTTTTTAAATTTTGCAGATGACCCTTGAAAAAGAGATCTCAAGAGGCTTTCACCTGGTTAAATAAAGGCTACAAAGATCAAAAATTGGTTTAGATATATTAATAAAGACAAAATTATTTTTAGAGGAAATAATCTACAGATGTATTGATGATAAATGTAATTGTTTCATACAGCTTAACCTTACACACAAAATCCAAAGACAGAAGGTAAGGACAACAATTAATAAAACATAATCCTGGTGGAAAATGACATTTTTAAGGAGAAAAGAGAGTAGTTGGAGGGGTCAATGTAAAATCACATGTTCCTGACAGTACAGCGGGTTAGCACTGTGATGGAAACCCCTGCATACATCATATATGTATGCTATATGAATGCACCTGCCCATTGCCTGGAAAAGTTAGATGCCGCCTATCACAGTGCTCTGAGATTTGTTAATAACTGTAAAGCACTTACTCATCACTGTACCCTGTATGCCAGGGCAGGTTTGCCTTCACTAACTGTACGGAGGCTCAGTCATTGGTACATGTTCATTTACAAAGCCATGTTGGGTAAACTACCTTTTTATATCTGCTCTCTGATCTCTCGACAAATTGAAAGTACTTATTGCCTGAGATCTCATGATGTTATTTAATTAAATGTGCCAAGTGCTAGGACTGTCTTAGGGAAGAAAGCTTTTAGTTGTGCAGCTCCACTAACTTGGAACAGTCTGCAAACATGTTTAAAACTGAGCACTTTGGTTCCCCTGCATCATTTTAAAACTCGGCTGGGTGACATGCTGTTTGATACTCATGGTACCTGTCACTGTAAATAGAGTTTGTAAACTGTACCCTGTACATTATGTTGTATGTCATCCTTATTGTCGTTCTGTTGTTTTTATGTTGTAACTAATGTCCTGCAGGTCACCCTTGAAAAAGAGATCTTTTGATCTCAAGGGGCTTTCACCAGGTTAAATAAAGGCTACAAACAACACTGTATAACATGCATCCTCCGGCTAGTAGGTTCAGTCCTACAAGGTGCAGGCTATTTTAACACTTTGACTATTGGTAATCATCCTGTCCACAGTCTTTGACAAATCAAGCAGAGAGTAGCAATTCCGGGTGAAAAGGGGTGGGAGCTCTTCTAGCTTTACACTGACTTCCATGTTGTCCACCTCACGTACAAGCCTCTGATTACTGTCATTCCTCCCAGACTGTAATCATTAGTAGGGTTGCTAAAAGACAACCCTACTCTGAAGTTGCCCTCAGCGTTGCCCAGAAGATAATTCCTCCTCCTTTTCTGCACCATTAAATGGCTTAATGACTGGTCTTAATGACTCGGAAAATATACCTCGAGCTCTTTCACACCAACGATTTGATACTTATTTCATCCTCGGAGTCTGCTGGCCAGACCTTGTTGAGGTGCGATAAATTGTAATTGACTATCTGTGTCATTTTTCCTCAAACGTACTTCTAGTATCAGTGTTTTCACCCAATATGTGCTAGCGTGTTCCCTTTGTCTCGATGGATGATATCAGCCTAAGTGTGTGTTTGTGTGTTTTATTTTATTTACCCTCACAGATCCTCTGATCGAGTGCTGTCTGACGGCCTTCCCTGGCACTCAATCACAGATGCCCCTCCACACTGAGCCTGTGCTGGGGGGGGTGGGGAAGAGCCCACTCTGCCAATCAGTCTGCAATGACCCCCCCCCACCACACACACAAACCAACTGTCCACCCCCTTTCCGTCACTGCTGTTAGCAATGGAATAAAAATAAAAACATGTGTCCTGATCAGTCTCAGCACATGAGGTTTGTTTGATTGAGGGAGAAGAAAAGCCACGGTGACGTTGGGAAGTATGAATTGAGTAAATCTAAAAAAGGGCTATTTTATTTGTATTTGCACAACATGAACAAATATTAAATGGACAGGTCTAAATTAAAAAAATAATTGAAAATATGTTTACATTTCCTTAAATCAGAGCTCACATACTGTATGTACACAGTGGATGTGACATTGAGCAGCTGACTCTTCAAAATACAAAAATCTTGACAGGCAGCAGTTCAAGATTCTACAGCAAAGCCAGATCACAAGCTATAACTGGGCCATGCCTAAGAACAGCATGTACTAGGAAACAATCCCTATTCTCTGTGTTGCATGTGGTGCTAAATCACTTGCACATGGTGATTTTCAACCATCTTGAATAGTTTATGGTTTACTCAAGCTCTGTCGTGCGCATCATCTCTGGAAACCCATGACTGAGAGTCAGAAGGTACAGTGAAGGATCCATTGTATTTTAAATCCTTCAGTTGCAATTCAACTTGAGGAAATATTAAATAGACAAATAGGTGAGAGCATAAAGTCCAACCTTAATGACAGCCGACGTCATCATAAGTAGTAATTTTATCATCCTGTCAAAACAAATATTATGTCCACTACAAGCCTGCAGCTGGAAACAAAACGTGAGCTGAATTACAGTTGCAAGGCTTTAAGAGCGATCTGACATTTATTGTGTTGTCAACTGTGAATATGTGCTTGTTTTATGCATATTTTATGATAGTAAACTAAATATTTTTGGAATCTGGATCAGACAAAACAAGCAGTTTAAATATGTCACTTTCAGTAGTGGTATATCTTGATGACCACTCTTCAGTATTCTCTGACATCTCATAGTCCTTACAATTCATTCTTTAACTGAGTACATAATACACACACAGTCAGTCCTTTATCCACACTCCTCTCCTCGAATGCCACCTTCTCAGAGAATGATTAACTACTCCTACTTTCCTTCTGCACATGTGAGATCAATACTGTTTAGTCTGGGATTAGACAGAACAGATAATACAAATGGCATTTGTTAACTGTCACTTTTTAAATAACATATTTGCTATTTAAAATTACAGCAACTGCATGCAAAAAGAGACAACCCTTGGACTCGTTACCAGCAACAGCACACACAGGCCCTGAAGCCATGTGATCTCATTAAACCAAACGTAAAAATACCAACCATAAATTGACCTTGTGATTTACAGTATATCTGACTAAGCAATTTCCCAAGCACGAATGTTAGTTGTATTTTAGGCTATGAGGATACTCTAAGAATAACATGAAAGAAAAGAGGCTAGGATGTCACAGAGACCCTTCACCCTCCCATCACATCCCTCATTCAGGAAAGCCTGCATTGGTCAAAACGGAAGTGTAAAAGACAGTTATTGTGTTTGTTGGTTTTATTGCTTCTCACTTCCTCTCTCACCTGTCCTTTCCAGCAAGCCATTCTCAGACACTTTCTGTTTGCAATGTGATATTTTGGTGCCTGAAGATGAACAAACAGTGAGAGTTTGAAACAGCCTGCAAGTGTGAAACTTTATTTACACTGCTCTGATTTCTCTGGGCTTGCTTACTCAAGCTGCTGGAATTCACAGGTTGCTGTGTGTGCCAAGTTTAGAAGCTCAGAGGGAGTTTACCCAAGTTTATTGAAATCCTCCCATGAATAAAAAGGATCACATGGCAGAAGGACTTTTGGGGAACATTACAGTGACATTGCAACATGAACAACAGCATGGAATAACGATGAGGAGCAGTTAAGTCACTTAGCAAACAACAAATTAATCTCTAGAGAAAATATAACAAGAATATGATGGTGAGTTCAGGGAAGGGGGTGGCGCTCTGTCGGTAATAACAACGTGACCTACATTCCTCTGAATTATATCATAAAGGGGACGAGCAGACATGATCAATCGGTATTTTCTGTTGGAAATTCCTCCTGCCTAACTGAACGTGTGGTAGGCTACTTACTTCTGTACATAATGTCTATATTTCAGTATGAATATTAAAACTGAAATGTTGAATTTCGTCATATTTTGCTATCTGTGAAAGTGAAACTTCCCCGTGCCACACAGAGAAATTGAGATTGTCATCCATTGATAGTGAAAGCATCTGATTCAGTTTAAAGCACTAAGTGTCACGTGACTGAAGTGAATTAGCGTTTCCTTACCTGCGATGTCCCACAGCTGTAACCTGACCAGCGTTTTGCTGTCCCAGTTGATCACTTTAAGAGCAAAGTCGACCCCGATCGTCGCCCTGTAGTGCTGCGAAAAGAGCTGGTGCACGTAGCGTTTGATGATGCTCGTTTTCCCGACGCCTAATTCCCCGATGACCAGCACTTTGAACAAGTGCTCCTTACACTCAAACACCGAGCCCCCGGCCATGCTGACACAAACACACACACACCGACAACTTTTCTCTAAACTCTGGCAGCTTCTGCTTTCTCGCTCATGTATGCTTCCTGTGAGAGCTGCTGTAGGACTGGGCTGATCAGGGGGCTCAGGGCCAGATTAAACAGAAATTACATTTGTCTCTCCCCTTTCAATTATCCTTATCCTCCTCCTCCTGCTCAGTAACCACCTGATAAGTCATAGGACCCGGAAATGTAAGAAACTTGACATACGCTCAGGCGTCCTCGCGCTGCTGCAGCTATAGAAGCCCTCTCATGTTTACAGGGTGATTTGTTGTCCCCGCATTCAAACTCAAGCTCCCCAACTGTGTAATGTCAATGTATATTTGAAATCAAGTAACCATGAACCAAAGCCACTGTGGGACTTCCTTTGTACTTTAAAAACAACGAAACAAGTATGCATTATTTGCTGCATTCAGAATAGTGGGGAGTGGGTGGATACATTTTTTGAGTAAATGACATTTCTTTGTTTTTAAATATGTGCCTTAAACATATTTAATTTGTTTAAGTTGAAGAAAAGGGTCAAATTAACTAGTTCATTAAAAAAAGTAAAATATAAAGCTATCTATAAATGTATGCAAATATTTCTACTTCAAAGGTTTTACTGCTGGATGGACACATAATGAATAAAAAGTCCATTGTTTTCTTGAAAGCTCCAGCATCACATCACACATTTTTAGGTAGAATATTGAGCAACAATTGCCTCAAAAAAAGTTTGGATGTATCAAAATGAGGTTATCTACCAAATGTGAAACTATGTCTTAAGATAAACATTTAATTTTAAAACATCTATGTGATGTAACAATTAATAAAACCCATTTTTGAATAGCGTTAAAGACCTTTGAATTTAGCTTGACATACCTTGATAACCACTTGCAGATCATGGATTTCACACAAACCGTATTTTCCATCGATGTAAACTAATATTGAGCTCGGCAAGTGTTTTTGCAGGCGAACCGAATGACAACCCGGTTTTTGAAATCTATTGCAGTAATCAGTCTTCTTAATATAAATAGTTTTTATTTTACAGCATTGTTCAGCTTGCCCAAAACATAAAGGCCTATTTCACTCTAGATTTGACAGTGTTAAACAGGTGGCACCCTCGTATATTTTACATTGAAAAATCATTTAAAATCATATAACAACTTACACTATAATAGACTAAAAACATTTGGAAATACAATACAATTGCACTATGCACTGTATAGTCTTGAACTTTGAAATAATTTGTATTCTTATACTGTAGATAAAGAACTAAGAAACTTAACCTCAAGTAAACCACTACAGTTTATAATGCAAGATTTAAGCAAAATTGAAGCATGTATAATCTCATTACAAGAAGCAACTAATCATTGGTTACTTTAACAACTGAATATTATCAAGAGGATACAGTCGACTCAAGTTAGCTTAAAAGTTACCCAAAAACCAAACACACTGCTCTGTGACAAGTATCTGAGGACAGTTTCAAAATGTATAAACTCTTTTTTTTCCTGTTGATATTCTAAATATAGAAACATTTATCAGTATTACAAACATACCACCTGTGTGAAAAACAAGAGATGGCTTAACAGTATTACAAACTTTGAGAACTTGTACAAGTACTGTGTTTTTCATTACAATGACACAGCCAACTCAGAAAACATGAGAAATATCCACACGGTATTGAAAGCAAAAGTTGTTCTTTTATCACGTCCCATGCTCGTAAAACTGGTTCTCAGGGTTATGATTGAGTGTAAACTGAATACACAACATCGCCATCATCTACAATTGCACGAACCTGTATCAGCTACATCGTAAAAACTGAAAGCAGGAATGTAGGTTGATAACAACTCTGATTGGAACATTATACCCATACCACATATCATACAGCGCAAGTGTTCAGCAGAATCTCAATTCAGTGATAATATTTGTGCACAACTCGCAACACATAAAAGTAATATTCAACCAAATTACTGCACGTTTCTTGTTAATTAATCTCAGTAATATTTAAATTGCGATGAGTTTAGGTGAGAGAAAGCTGAGGTGAAATCAATTAATGAAAAAAAAAGGCGAGAAGTTTTTCAATGCAGCTGCTACTGCTACACACATAAATAGACCTGTACATGTGCAGCAGAGAGGAGCAGAGCTAATCAAAACCGGCATGAAATGCACTTGAGCTACTGCAGTGCTTAGAGCTAAATTGGTCTCTGGTTGTAACAGTGTACATATATGCACACAGAATGTTTCTCTTTCCATTTGTTCCTCATAGACCATTTAACTGCACTGCCATTATGAGAAGCACAACTACATTCTTTATTATGTATATAAGTGTCTCTTAATTCATCACAATTTGGCATGAGAGCTGTCTACTTTTGGCACTCTCCCCAGTTTAACATTTTCCAGAAAGGCTTTGTGCAGCGGCAGCCCTTCAGAAATGTAAGCACTCACGGATGGTTCCTGTTGTTTTTCTACTTATCACTTGATCAACCCCTTACTTTTAAAAGCAGAGTAATAAATACAAGCAAGCAAATGGCAGCGAAAAAGGCTTAAAAACTTGAAATTATAATACAATTAGGTTGTACAGTATGTTTCTGTTTGTGTGCTTCAACCAGTATGTGACAATTGCAATGTCTGTGTGATGCACAACTGTGTCGGCGCCTGTTTCGCTCTCACAGTGTTGAAGAGCTGTGTGCGTAGTCATGGAGCATGTTTGAGGTGTAGACTGAGCTCGGAGGGCTCCCGAACATCGACTCCATGATGGGGGAGTCGCTGACATACTCCCCCGAACACACAGAGTCTCTGAAGGGGGAGGGGGGGGACAGAGCAAAGGAATCCTCCAGAGATGGCTTGTTCTGAGTTAAATCCACGCTATCCCTTTCCTCCCCCTCCTCCTTGGCATCATAAATGTAGCTGTGTAAGAGGTCCAGTGACTCGTCCTCGGACCCCTCCTCGTCAAACACTCCCACTCGTGGGACTAAAGGAGGCTGAAAGGGGGTCAAGCTCAAAGGCTCGTTGGCAGGGTGTGCCTCCTTGGCGGTGTTGTCATTCAGTGCAGGGGCATAGGAGCTGTGTGTGTCCACCACAGCCCCCTGCAAGCGCTCCGTAGTGCAGCCCTTTAAATGAGAGGGCAGAAAAGATGCAGGCTTATCTAAATTAGACTCCAGCCCTTGCATCTGACCAGAGCAAGAGGGAGTCCAGAGGGGACGCTGCGAATCCTCGTCGTCTTCCTCCTCCAGGTTGTACAGAGGCTTAGCGCCGCGCGGTTCTTGATGGGGTCGGGGTTCTGTGCCACGGTTGCAGGTGGAGGGCTCACAACTGTGGGGGTCGGGCGTGTTAGTTAGGGGCCTGATGACCGCCGTCTGATTCAAGCCTGCTTCCTGTTTCCTCACATGCACAGACAGTCTGTGCCACACATTCCCCCCCCTTGGAGGGTGTCTTGGACCTGATTCAGACCATGACACAGACTTGCCATTAGAACTATGAACGAGATAAAGACCCAAGTTACTAACACAGGAAACCAAGAGGTGGTTGCAGATAAACAACATCAGCATAGCAGCAACATAACACAACAAGAGCAGCAGCATTTCAACATTTCTGATGCATGTTAAAAAACTTTTTAACCACGTGACTTTGACATTAACAGCTTTGATATGGGGTTCACTCATGAGCTCTAAGGAGTATTACATGTATCCACTGTGTCACTAAACACTGTGAGTCATAATGTGCTGCAGACAGCATTATGATCTGCAAATAGCTTTAAACATTGAGGTACAGAATAAAGAGCCACCGAACTCATTTCCTTCTGTCTTAACTATAAGCTTCTATAGTTTAAATGGGACACATGCATTTGTACTTTAGTTGATGCCTGAACTGACACAGAGTTTTAGTGCAGACAGAGCTAGGACTGGCTCTAATGTGATTAGTTGGAGAGGTAGGGAGGGGCGTTCATGCTGAGAAAAGTTAAATGTGAGGTTAATTCAGGATAAACCAAAGCGGCAGGGTGGCAGAACTTATTCTTGAAGGGCTTCAGTGTCAAACATTTTTTTCCCATATCCAGCTTAGAAGTGACAGGATCACAGAGGCAAGTGATTCCTTTAATTCACCAGACACTTGAACCAGCAGCATAGGCTTTGTTGTTGAACAAAAACAACAACAAAAACTGTCACAACAAATGATATTCAATATTAACAAATAGCTTATTTTATATTACTCGTGAAAATCAAGCATAATCAAATGCAATTGTTAAAATGCAATAAACAGAAGGTTTTTAGACAACATTCCACTTTTTTTTAATCTAAAACTTTGAGGTAAACTCACAGATTTTCTTTCAAATGTCTCCAATGGTTGTTTATAATGATAAAATGTCTTAGTGGACAGTGCAGCTCTCCAGGAAAGAAGTTCAAAGATCACCATGCCAAAAATGTGCCAGCCTCGACACTTTGCAGACAGTGCTGCACAGTTCAGAAGGTTTAAGGGTTAGATGATTAGAGAGGCTGCATAGCAAGGGTGAGAGACAACACGTAAACATATTGGGATCACTCTCATACTCTGCCCAACTCCTTACTTTAGACACCTGTCCAGTGTCACTGCTGTGAATCTCAAAAAAGTTATATGCAAGTCTTATATATAATTTAAAAGTTCGGAAATATATACTTGAATTAACGCTGACACATTTTTCTGTTAAATGTAGCTGAACATCAGTGGTATTATTTTATGTTCCTCAGTGGGAGGGGGATGTGCCTTATAAATCAGTGTTCAATGCTTACTGTTTCTTAATCAATGCATCAGTTTAGGTCTGATCTGGAAAGTTAAAATTAGACAAATTAAATCAAGCATAAACACTCAAATATTCTTGTAAAAAAATTAAATAAGCACCTTCATGTTACTTTTAATGATGTATTTCGACAAAATACCAACAGATCAGCTTTGGACAAACCACAGTACAATTTGAGTGTTTAGGCATCTTATAATTGTGCTTCTTACCAAATATAATCATCTTAAAAAGGCACTCACTTGGCATTGCCAGAGACAGCCTTTTTCCGGCGGAAGATATTGAGGAAGCTGTTGGTCCCACATTGAGCTGACTTCCCATCTCCAACGTGCATTCGCACCACATCAGATGTTGTGAAGGCGCTTCGGACGTTCCTCTCTGGTTTGGCAAGCATAATGTACATCTTAGGCGTGAACATGCACCCCAGAGCCACTGTGACACTGAGGCTGACAGAGAAGGATGTGGTTATGATCTTGTAGTTTGAGCCAAAATAGATTGGCACAAAGGCCAACCAGATGATGCAGGTAGTGTACATTGTGAAGGCAATATATTTCGCCTCATTAAAATTGGCCGGGACGTTCCGCGTCTTGAAGGCATAGTAGGTGCAGCTCATGATCAGCAGCCCGTTGTAGCCCAGTGGCGCCACCATGCCTACAGTGCTAGTATTACAGATGAGGTAGACCTCACGAATGCTGGGGTAGGACTTGACGGGCAGAGGAGGCTCCAGAACGATGAGTGTGATCTCCAGAGTTAGCTGCACGCTGACCAGCATAAAGGCGATGACCACCTGGGCCCAGGCGCCCATGAAGCGGGGCTTCTTGGTGCAGATCTTCTTCTTGCTGCCTGCCAGGATGCGGGCGATGCGGTTCGTTTTGGTCACCAGGGCAGAGTAGCACATGGCAGATGAGAGGCCAACCAGGAGCCGCTGCAGGTAGCAGGAGACCAGAGTAGGATGGGCGATTAGGGTGAAAGGACAGATGTAGCCCATGAAGATGCCTGCCAAGATGATATAACACAGTTCTCTGCTCGAGGACTTAACCACAGGCGTGTCACGGTACTGGATGAACACGAAAGTGACAAAGGAGGTGATTAGGATTCCCACACAGGAGAAAGCCACGGCCACGATAGATTCCACATCCGACCAGTCCAGATACTTCAGAGGCAGCGGCTGACAGCCTGGAACAAAAGCAAAGGAGATATCAGGTTAATCTTTTGTTGGTTCTGTCGCAGTTCTTTGTTTGAATGAAAGGTACATTACAATTGCTGAAAAGGACCAATGAGAAGACAGTAGAGAGGGGGAAGAGAGGAGAGCAACACAGATTTGGAGGCACAAGGTAGTCAGATGTGTAAAGAAAGATCAGACCTAAGATTGTTCAGGAATTAAGAACCTCCAGTTCTGTCAAAAAATCTCTCATTTTTATTTGATGCCTAATGTGTATGTTATGTGATTATGTGTCTCAACTCTGTCATGATGCGCACGTTGACGGAAGTTTGTAGGGCTTAAGGGGAGAAAACTGACATCCTTGACTTCCCCTAATATATCATACATTACATGCTGCTGCTAAAAGCAAAACCCACTTCTGCTTGTTAATTCCCAATATGTCAAATTTTCAAACAACCTTACTTGTAGCCTCAGGAAACACAAAATATGAAAGGTACGCCTGTGAATATGAAAGTTTAAAGCAGTTTTTACACTGAGGTAAAAGCACTACTGCAAACACACACTGAGGCCCACTTTCAAAGGAGTCTGAAGAGCACTGAAGCACACTAACTGTTTTCTTTGGACCACCCACCTGGCAGGCACCAGCCACACTGCGTGCATAGACAAAGGTGGTAAATATGAAATGCTCATATCTGGATCTCTTCTTACACTATCTTCAAATCCCTCATTCCTCGAAAAACCTATGCTGTCATATCTAAGCTGGGCAGACCTTTAAATAATTTTAAAACAAAGCTCACTCTTGTGCTGCACAAGGTCTCTCTGTAGAGTCACATGGACTTCAGAGAAAAGCCAGCGTCATATGGAATTTTGTGAAGGTATTTAAGAAAAAAAAATCCTGCCCTAAATGAGCAAGTGGACAGTACAACCTCGCTCTATGAATAGAATACCAACTCTCTCTATTAGTATTCTCCAGATAGGCTACATGTAATGAGAGTGAAGGGAGAAATCTCTTCCTCGACAGACTGCTGAAATATATCCCCAAGCCCCTCATGGCCGTAATAGGATTTTACACCTGGGATCTGAGAGCTGCTCTCAACTCTATAAATCGCTGTCAAAACAATCACCGGGTCACAACAAGGCAATGAGCGGGGGAAGGAGAGAAGGGTGTGGGTTGTGGATGCCAAGAGAGCAAGGTCATAGGACCTGGATGATGAAAAGTACCAGTGAACGGAGGTGTCAGGGTGTGAAGTGTGAATAGGCTTATGGGGAGGAGGATTTTTGAGAGCCCAAAATAGTTAGAGTGGCTTTGAGGTGTTTTAGTGATGTTGGTGTTATAAGATTTTAATGACCTGACTAAGTGAGCAGGCAGATGCAGGTTAGCGTGAAATCAACGAAGAATGTTTATAAAATCAAAAGTAGATAATTTTTTTATGAAAAACATTATTAAATAACCATGGAAGGAAGCCCTGATATCTTCTATAACATATGGGAGAAATTCCTACGTTTTTGTAAAGGAACTACATGTGACCTTGTCAAATTAGCTACTGCATGTATGGATAGTAAATAGCTACTTGTTTAACAACTTTAAACTCACTGTTAAAACCTTTTCACAAACTTTCATTTTTGAACTATTATTTATTACCAAAAATGTAACATGTATGTATTTTGTATCTCTTTGGGGTGGGTATACATTTATGTAATGTATTTTGCTGGAAAACTAAATGAAAGTATTTGTCATGAAAAAGGTTGATTGGCTCAGTGTGTTTAATTGGGTTTTTTCCAATTTACCTTCCAGGTAATCGTCGGGCCACCACCCCAGCTCACACGCCTTGCAGGTGAACTCATCCTGGACGTACTCGTTGTCCTTGCATGTGGTGCAGATCCAACAGCAGCTCACCTCTCCCTTCCTGATCACCTGTAAGCAGAGAGTTCAACGGTGAGGGGTCACAGACATCTTAGGTACACTCATCACACCAGAAGCACATCACACCCAAAGCAGCCTAAATAAGTAATGAAGGGGATATCAAAGATGAGGTAAGTTTCTTTCTCTTGAGCCCCAGACATACTGTTTATAAAACAAGGCCAGCTGCTTTTACATTCTGCTCCCAGATAAGCTGTTACCAGCACTGTGATATGTAAAGCAGGGTGAAAGTGGGGCAGAAAACAAAGCAGAGAGGGGGAGCAAGAGCAGCCAGCAGAGAGGCTGCACCCTCCCTCAGGGCGACTTACTGTACAGCTAGACTGAAAACAAGCAAATCAGGGCATTTCTGCATTCTGAGCACAATAACAGTTTCCATTATTTACTGTCCCAACTGTCCTTCTCCTCAGCCAGGTAGGGTAAAATGCAAAGGAAATTATGCGTCAACTTGTTCAAACCTAAATGTTGTGTGACTTAGTTTTGACAGATAAGATTTTAAATATCATAAGAGATCCTGAAAAACACAAGATTATTTTACTATTTTACTTTTTCAAACATGTTTATTCAGACCGGGAAAAAAAAAGAGATCTTAAATTCCTTTTAATTCATTTAAAATAATATTTCATAGATGAAGAAGGATGTCAAAATGTAGGACAGAGTAACATCCAAAAAAAATGGCTTGCCGGCTGAGGCATATGTTGTATGATGACCAAAGAGAACAAATGGGAAGCTACGAGATTCATAACAGGAGTGGTGCATCACATCCAAGCAGTGACACAGTTACCAGTAAAAAAAGGTTTTGGAGAGCACAGGGGAAATGCCATCTCTGTCTTAATTGATTGCACTCTCTGAGAGTATTTTTAGCCATGAAGCTGTGTGGACCAAGGGATGCCAATGTCGGTCGGTCAGCCAGTCTCCCGCTTTGGTCCAAACAGAAATACCTGAAACTGACCTACTTGGGTGTATCGCCATCCCATTACCTACGTACATGGTTCCAACAGAAGGACCCCTATCACCATTAGAAGTTCAGTGACATGTGACGACAACACCGACACATTTAAAAAAAAATATTTGATGACTTCTTAGGACAATTTGACATTTTGGGAAATACATTAAGTTGTTTTCTGGCCAGGAGTTACAGGAGAAGATAAATACTGGAACCAGGACAGCAGCTTGCCTATATGTCCAAAGGTATACCTTATGCCTCATATTTTTAACAGTCCAGTATGCCACATAAACACAGAATATTGATTTTACTACCTCAACATCACATTTTTACTCAAAAACAACTCGAAGAGAGAATTTGAGCATCCCATTTGTGTTGGCTTTCTTGGAAAAAGTCCTTTGTGAAAGTCATTGTATGTTTTACCTGGCATAATGAATCCATAGTTAAATTAGCTACTTAGAATCGCTAAATTGGACCTGCTGGTATTTAATGATATACATCGGTGTTGAATTAACACTTGTTGATAGTTTTAGACCTCTAGAGTCAGATCCCCACTGTTAATGACTATTGATTTATTAGACGTCGTCAGGTTTTTTCTGGATAAACTGGTTGAGTTTATCTAACGCTGGAGGGTTTGAATCCCTACCTTGATCTGTCCTTTGGAGCAGGGCTCGCTGCAGACTGAGCGCACGATGTCACTGCTGTTCATCCACAGCTTGTCGTCATCGATGGTTATGATGCCCTCGTGCCAGGAGCCCACCTTTAGGTAGTCATAGTGTTCCTCACCCACACCCTGTAGATTCATGATGTCATACCTGGATAGACAGGGGGACGGATGGATATAATGAGCAAGGACAAGAGTTACAATAGATACAAAAAAAAGGCTAGAAGAGGGACAGAACATAGAAGAGTTAAAGATCACAGAGAAAGAACGAGGAGGAGGAGGGAGATATAGCGGGAGGGGAGAATGACAGTGACAGGTCATTTAATGATACAAATATTGCCGCTTAGCAAACCTTTTATACAAAGTCAATAAAATAGCTTCCTGTTAGTGTAACTTAAATAGCTCATGGCAGAGCACTGTGGCTTCCTCTTTACATTAAATCAGGATGTGCTCCACCTGACCTCTAGCTGACGGAGTATTGACACGGCCATGTTTTCTGACTGTCAAATGCTGTCTGTTGGACTGAGCAGAGATGGAAGTGGCTGCCAGAGCGGGCAATCCGCTGAATCTGTTCCAGTCCAAACTAATTACATCCTTCTGTGCTCAAGATTGGTGCACACTTGTGTGCATGTACTGTACATGCCTGCTAATTAGTAGCAGACCGTAAGATCATGGATTACAAGTAGGAAATCTCTTTTTCATTTTCCTGCCATTTTGTATATTCTTACCACCTCTTCGTTCTCTTACCTTCCTGGGGTGTCTCCATTTTGATCGAAATAAATGTCCTCCCCTGAGACTCCTTTGAAGGATGTCTTCAGCAGGTAGTCCAGCAGCTTGCTGCCGTCGATAGGGTCCATCGCCTCACACAGCCCTGGCTGCCCTGGGCACAACTCCAAGTGCATATCATGGAGGCCATGAGCCATGGCATAGATGGCATTGATGACAAATCCCATTTTACTATCCTGAACATAGTTCTCATGTAGACTCTCATTTCCTGTTAGAGAGGGAAAACAAGACGGCATGAAAAGGATGGATACATTGTGACCATTAAAGAAGCTGTTCTTGTTTGTCCTTGTTTTTTGCTGCATTCAAACTTACACAGTAGAAACAATGTGTTTCAACAGTGCATGATTAGAATTACCCAAACCAGACACGGAGAATATATTGCAAAGCCTTTCTTTTGCAGCAGAATATATCAGCATACAAGGAAATCACAATATAATGTCCAAAAGCCTGAAAATGACAAATTGCACTTCACCATCTGCCCTCATTAAGACCCCTGTCCCTTCAGTCAACAGCAACAAGTTTGGAGGGTATAAATACAAATAAGAAATGTTAACTATCTACATCCTTGTATGCAGATATTTACTCCAAAATTTGAGACTGAATTTAAATGTCTATTTGCCCCCTTTGAAATATTGGTATTTGTTGTCTACATTGTTCACATCAACATGCACATACAGCAGACGGTGAGATCTATTTATATTATTTCATGTGCTTCTGACTGTCGAGTGAACTGTGTGTGCTGGGTGAGCCATTCCTTTGTGCAATTTTCAAAGTGTAGGGCCATTTTCTTTTTATTCCTCATACACTATAAACAAGCCCAGTGCTCCACATCAGAGTTTGACTAATGCAATCTTCGTTCTGGCCGAGAGCCTGACTCTGTCAAGATCAAGACATCTCACGGTCACAATCTTACAAAAATTGCAGTTTCAACACATTAAAGAGAGTGTTGTGTTAAAGAAAGCATCAGTCAAACTCTTCCTCTCTTGGATGAGTCAAACGCTTACAGTGCAGGTGCAATTCTGATACAACCATCACCATAGTAGTGGCAAGAAAAATGCACTTACCACCTTGAAGGTCTTTGGAATAAAAGAGGTGTATAAAGATGTGATACAAAGAAAGTAAAAAAGCAACTATGACTGTACTGCTCTGAGATACTAACAGTCATCAAAAACCACAAATGAATTGGATGTATCAGTTAATTAAAAGCATGCTGAGTTAATTTAGTTTCTATGGATTATTCAATTGAATATTTTTTCAAATTCTTAATTGGATTTGTAATTTGTTCATTTGTTATTTAAATGATATTAGCAAGCCGAAAACTTGAATTACCATGATCACCTTTTGGGAGCAAAGGGAGAGAATATTCAGGAAGGAAAACAGAGAGAAAGATACAAATGTTTCATTATTACCCTCTGTGACAGCAAGATAAAAGAGTAAAGCATATTGGTTTTTTTTGTTGTCACCTACCGGAGCACACTTTCTTGTAGTTCTTGTTCTCCTGTGGGTGGCCCGCGAGGCGGCACTGGAAGCGGTACTGCCAGAACTCAGAGAACCAGGGGTTCCTGGTGTTGCTGTCCAGACGCAGCTTCAGGTAGTAATCGTCGAAGGTCTTCACCACCTCTGACTGCAGCTTCATGGTGATTCCTCCCTCTGCTTCCTGCTCAAAACCCTCCACCACCTCGTAACGGTCTGCCCATCCATCACTGCAGGAGCAAGAGAGGAAGAGTCTTTAACACAGTGACCGCAGGGGGACCACTTAAATGTTATGAAAGAGATTTGACAGAAGCATTACTTGACAGTGGTGGTACATGTTATAGTATGAGTCTTGTATTGGACTGTTCAGACTATTAGTCATTTGTTATATTAAAAGATGGTGTTGCATCAAAGCATTATTCTGCCCATCCCACTGTAATGCTCCATCTGCTTCTTTAACAACCATTAACAGCGAATATGAACTGCTACCATCTAATCGGAGATACAGGGTCCCGCGATTCAATAAAGTCAGACTGAAGCACTCCTTTGTGCATCAGTCAATCCTCAAAGTAAATACAGAGCTAAATCCCAGGTCAAATGCACGCTGAAGGGTCTTTGAAAATGTTTTCTCTCAGTGATTGTGCTGTTATGTTAAATGTTTGTTGTTCATGTATTGTTTCTTGATATTTCTCTATGTTGATGTTACACATGGAGCTGCTGTGATGCAAGTCAAATTTCAGACTTGATCTGACCAATAAAATATTATCGTATCGTATTACAAACAGGGCCCAACTCACAGGATAATCGGTCTCCCCACACCCAACTTCGCAGAGTTGAACAATAATGCCACTGCATGCATCGCAACATCAGCAGAACAGGAAATCACACACACTCAATCAGCGTCTAACCCCGCTGCTCTCCACGTGAAGGTACAGAGCACTGAGGTGCAGAGGGGTTCACTCTGACAAAAAACCTGATTCCTGCATCCATAGCAGACCTAACTGGGTAGACCTCAGTGTGTTGTCTGTCATCGTATGTTCTGGTTGTGCTCTTGTGTGTATTTCTCTCTGACGTGTACAATGCATGTGAAAATGAATTACACCTTGGGGACAATAAAGACTAAAGATACACACAAAAGCTGCTGATTCAGACTGACGTGCCCAAAACACCTTTTGCCTTATTGATACACATAAACAAACCAGGTGTCAAACTTTACTTTGAATGATAGATTCTCCATCCCAACATGATTTCTTGTCTTTTTCTTAGCGGGACATGGCAGTACAGGTTTTTTCTTCAAACTGAACTCTGACTTACAGCTGTTACTGAATGAATGTTTTGCTTTTAGCAGACAGACCTTAGTTCCTTGTGAAACATTTTTGAAAGTTTAATGATGGTGATATAACTCACAAATAGTCAGCTGTTAGGCTATTAAACTTACATTGCTTGCATTGTACATTTGAATAGTGACCTGATGCTTAGCTGATAGGGAAAGAGAGCAAACAATGTGAGTGACCACAAACCTTAATAATCAGTTCATTGTAATTTCCACATCTAAAAGAGTGTTTGGAGTATGGAGGAAGTAAAACATAAAAATAGAACCACGCAAAAAACGATTTGAATACACAGAGCAGCGATTAAAGCAGCAGTAACATCAATGTAAAAGGAATTACTGAAGGAGAGCAGCTGTAATTCGCATGTTGGTGTGTCTTTGTTCACATGGAGACTCATGTCAACGTTTTTATAACAGCAGCAGACCTAATGACAAAAAAACATCTGTGCACAAACTCTTGGTCAGGTGTTGCTTTAATATAAATATTGATCTTCAACAACAGGTAGCTAGACTCCAGCATCTATTCTTGTAGGATGTTGAATTCGCTTGGCAGCACTGTTTGCAGGCTTATCTGAAGTCCAACCCAGCAATCCTCAATTTAAGAGGATGAAAATCTCACCATTAGTGCCTCAAGAGTAATTGTAGGCTTAAGAAAATCACTTCAGCTTATTTGTGTGACCCTTTGTGCGAGAATTTGTAACCTACCAAGCCAATTTTGACACACAGCTAGCCAGTGTCAGAGAGAGGGACCCTGAAAAACTAATTAGAGATAAACAGCACCACTCTAAGCTCAACTCTTTCTTTAAATCTATGTGGGGTTTTCAGCTGTGTTTTATTCTGTGTTTCTCCATCTCCAAAGTGGGTTCCAGGCTACTGCCTTAAAATACCTGAGCTATTGACAGCTACCCACCAATTACCTATGACTCACCATGGAGCCAATTACCTCGCACACATGGGATGTTCTGGGTGATGGATAAGGACGTGTGTGTGTGCAGGAGAAAGTCTCTGACCTTTATTTCCACAGTTACCATCAGTCAAGAAAAAAGGAGACATTCGGCCAAACACCTGGAAGGAGGAAACTTTTAAACCAAAGTGATACAGCTGGTATATATATCTTCTCAAGCGAAACAAATATTTGGATTTTTACACATATTGAATATTAGTATCAAAAGCAATCCTGGAATTAGAGCCCAAGTCATACAGAAATTGTTAAAATGTCTCCAGCTGACCCTAGACATTAAGTGGACAAGGCTGGCGTTTTTTCTATTAATTACTTTCTATTAATCTGGCTTTTTATACTTTCTCACATCCCAACCATGTCCCATGTGTTCCTACTTAAAAAGCTAAAGTTATTTCCAAAAGTAGCAAGGCACTGTTATTACTCGAAGAGCAAATAAAGAATTTGCTGGGGCACCGATGAACAACCTGTATCAGGCTTTGCCTTTAGAGGCAGAAACGATTTGGCTCTCAAGTTTAAGTTTTGGAATGAAACCCAGAAACTTAAACATGAGAGCCATATCCAACACAACGCTCCATTTCATTTCACTATTAAAAGTGAAAAACGGTAAGCAAATCTATTCTTCTTTTTATAGTGATGTCGCTCTGAATTTGGCTTCAAATTGTTCGTCCTTCACAGTTCCAACTATCAGAGCCAGCTTAATATGTGTTGCCATGTGTGAAGCAAGATGATACATCCTTGTGTCTTTGAACAAATGCATTGGAAACACAACAGATTTTATATAAATGTCCACATTTGAAGGGACTATGCAGAAGATGAATCCATTAATGGGCAGAAGCTTGCGAGCTAGTTCAGGCAGTCAACTGGAGCAGCAATGATACATTTACACGTGAGTTGTCTGACTGAAATTTGTTAAGTTTACAAAGGTGTGTATAGTCTAAGGCCAGAATCCATTGAATTATACATGTATAGTGTGTACAACACTTACTGTTAAAGATGAGAACAGTGTGTGATAATGGAGAGAAGAAGAAAAAATAGCCCATTATGGGATTGTGAAATAATGTCCTATTCTTTGTGTAAAAATATCAGCCTGTTCCTAAAACATTTGCTGTATATTTAAAAAGGAACAAATCAACCTCTCTCTCCTAATTGAGTGTCAGGAACACGTGAATGTCATTGGTGCCAGTCACATTTTCTTAATTGGCTCCAAGTGAATACTGTCTCTGTCCCTCCTGCTCTCTTCACAACATGTAGAGTGCAGATGGATTCACAAACACGCGCCCCTGTATCGATGTGTGCATATGTCTTCCATGTGTTTATCATAAATGTACTTTACCTGACAGGGTAGCTATTCAATACAATTCAGTGTGGAACATGTTTGTTCTAACAGAACAGTGGAAAACAGATTGGGTTTTTAGATAAAGAGAGAGAATGGGGGGAAGTGCTGCTCAACACTCCACATGAATAATGCACGAGGCACTGAAGACATGCTTGACTGTTTCTCGCTGTAGACTTTATGATGAATTAAAATGACGTTCTCTCTTCTCGCTCTCCTCTCTCAGGATTGCGGCTTCTGGCAGAACTCCAAACGGCTCATCAAAAACGCTCGGCCATCAGAGAGACGCTTAGTGGGACAAAATCTGATTTAATGTCACCTCAATGTTCACGACTACATACTGGAAGGCTCAATATTACATAACCTGAGTCTGACATACGGGAATTAAACACCTGTTTAAGAAAATTAAGGAGTCAACGCTGTTCAACTTCATCAGCTTTACTTGATTTACTGAAGACAGAAAAGGTTGTGGGTTGAAACATCAAACAGAGAATACCTTAAATACAGTTACAGTTTAAAAAAAAATTACTTTAAATTGTTTTAACTTTTGATTTAAGAAGGATGAGGTTTGTGACACAGGAAAATACTAAATTATAGCTATTGGCAATGATAAGATCTTGTATTTAAAAAGGTGACCTATCATGCAAAATGCACTTTTGTACGTCTTTTATACATGAATATATGTCCCCGGTGTTCCAGGGAACTCACCAAGTGTCAGAAAACACAACCCTCTCTATTTCCCTCCATACCCAAATCTCTTAAAAAGGGGCAGCAACGGATCTGATACAGACTGATCCAGATTTGAACACTTCTATGACGTCACAGAAGTGGCGCTACGGCTATTGGGCCAACTCCACCAATCAGGAGACAGCCACGGACATTGCCGTTCGAAAGCGCTGGAGGCGCTGTAGTACATATGCCAGGCCTGTAGATGGTGCTGTTCTCACAGAATCAGCCCATACAAAGTCAGTGTTAAATTGAGAGAAATGAGGAATGGCTAAAATGCATGATCTGTTTGGTATTTTGAAAAATAAAAAGTATAAATATGCCTTATATAGGTATGGTCCTACACTATATTATTCAAATATAGCATGATAGGTCCACTTTAAGAAACAATCCTCAAAAATGCAAAATAGGTCATTTGTCATTTTTTTTTATAACAGAACCTCTCAAAATGACCTATAAGACCGTTGCAAACTCTATTCATTTGAGTGTGATTCTGATATGGCACCAAAAAACATAAGATATTATAAGGAAAGATACTTTTTCAGCCATCATAAAAGACCATGTTACTTATGAGACTTAATTAAGGTAATTACAGCAAAAGTAGAAATATGTATGTGACATAGTTAGTAAAACCAACANGTGTGCCTTGGCAGTCAAGAGTTTCCTAATTGCTGTATGCGATTGTTCAAACAAAAGTTTCGGTAGCTTGGTTAATGGAAAAACTTTTAATCTGTTGTGCATTCGAAAAAACACTCGAATGCACAACAGACACAATAGACTTTTTGCACTACTTTTAATATTGCATTTTTGTATTTTTTTATATATGTTGGATTGTTGGACGAGCTCAGGTCATATTTATTTATTTTTATATTCCTGTATTTTACTTGGTGGACTAGCAAAGTAA